GAAATGGGAGTGGAGGCTTGTAAGGTGGGGGAACAAAGAAGTTTTCCTTGGTTTTGGTAGCAGCTGGTTTTTCAACAGATTGCGATGCTGCAGGAGCTGGTGATCGAGTAGATGGATCGAGTATAGGCTCCTCTGTTGCCTTTTCAGCTGAATCTTCATTTTGATAGAAATCCACCCCATCTTGAACTTCACTGTCCGTAGTGATTGAGTTATGGGCATATCGAGTAGGCATCTCTCGATTGTGACTGATAGTGATGGCGTTAGCAGTGGCATACTCCTTGGGGTTTTGAATTGACTTCCCTGGAAGTCCTGTAATCTTGGGAGCAGAGGTTGACCCAGTTTGGCCTTCCATGTATCTGACCTTTGAGGCCAGTGCCTCGACCTTGATGTTGAGATCGTTATAACTGATGTCTATCTTGTTGTTCATTTTGTCCAGCTTCTTAGCGATCTCCATTTAGCCTGATGCTTGTCCTTGAAGAAGCTGTTGGAGCATTTGCCTCAGTTCTGAGTCAGAAGCGCTAGAGGGTTGTTGTTGTTGTGGTACAAATCTGGGTGGCGGCTGCTGTGGTTGATAACTTCCCTGAAACTGTTGCTTAGGAACAAACCCTTGTCCTTGGTTGTATGGGACGAATGGTTTGGGTTGGGTTTGCTGTTGTGGAGGGTAGACCTGATCTTGCGGGTTTGCAACATTGGTACTCCTGTAAGACAGATTGGGATTGTTTTGCTTGTAGTTGTTGTAGCCCTTGTTGTAGCCTCCTTGGTTTTGCACATAGCTTACTTCTTCTGACTGAAGAGTCTCCCCATCCTGGACTTGGAACGTCTCATCTTCACAGAGAAAATGGACTTGCTTCTGTTGCACAAGAAGTAGTTTGTCCAGCTTGTCATTCATGGCTTTCATATCCTTTCGGTGCTTCTCTTCTAAGTCGGAACTTCCTCTGATGGCTCTGTCATAATCTTCATTGTAGTTTCCATCAGACTGAGCTAAATTCTCTACCAGCTCCCATCCTTCTTCAACTCCTTGTTCAGGAAATTCCCGTCGGATGCTGTATCCAGGAGCATCCGGATCTTAGGGAGAACTCCTCTGTAGAGAGTGCTCAGGAGTGAGGCTTTGGAGAAACCGTGGTGAGGGCATTGAATCTGATATCCTCTGAAACGCTCCCATGTTTCACAGAAAGTCTTAGCATTCTTCTGAGTGAAGCTAGAAATCTCATTCCGGAGTCTTGCTGTCCTGGAGTTGGAGAAAAATTTAGTCAGGAAGGCTTTCTTGCAGTCATTCCAGGAGGTGATGGAGCCTTGAGGAAGTGATTTTTCCCACTGGTGGGCTTTATCTCCAAAAGAAAATGAAAACAAACGCAACTTGAAGCCATCCTCACTGACTCCATTGATCTTAGTTAGGCTGCATAGCCTATCAAACTCGTCCAGATGATCGAGTGGATCCTCCATTGGGAGGCCGTGAAATTTGTTGCCCTGAACCATGGCAATGAGACCACTCTTGATCTCGAAGTTGTTGTTCTGCACTGGTGGAGGCACAATGCCATTGCGCTGATTGTCATTGCGTGGAGCATCGCATACACCAATGTTGTTTGGCAATTCTGGGTTCTGATCGTCGGCCATAACGTCTGTGCCTGTCTGTTCTCTTAAGTCACGAGCAATACGGTCGATGTTCTCGTTGAAAAGCAGGTTCTGATGTCCTTTTGATCTAGTATGCATGCAACAGGTATCAGCTCAGCTTGAGCAGCAGAGTAATCAGAGATAGTACCTGAAACAGACAAATAAAGAGAAAGCCACAGCGTTAGTAACCTTGTAAAAAAAAACGAACTTGATCTTAACGTTTCCAAAAATCTCAAATATAGCAAAGATAACACCCAAATGGCAACGGCGCCAAATTGATAATAGGTTTTTAAGATCAATTAATCCTAAAGCACTATCATGTCGTTGTAGTATTTTAGGTGTCAATCCAATCAGGTGTGATGCAAACAAATGAGATATGATAAAAAATTATTAAGTCAAGCCAAGCAGGAATTGGTTGTTTTCTAACAGTCCTAGTGATTTATGCAGAAAATAGTAAATTTGCAGAAATGGATTGCTATACTCTATCACAAGGCTCTTTGCCAGAAGGAGGATGTGATAGAGTAAAAGGGTCCAAAAACAGACAATTATCAAAATTCAATAGCAAGTAACAGAGAAGGTGAATGCGGAAGGTAAATAAACAGATAAATCAATTGGATAAGAAACTCCTAAGGATGGGGTAATCCAATAGTGTGGACTCCATAATCAATTCAGATGGTTAACAATTCTCAATGAAGCTATCCCTAGACAACAGGTTCAACAACAGACTTATTCACTCCCGTGCAACAAATCCTCAAGCAAAGCTAGCCCAGACTAATTCCCATTAACGGAATCTAACTATGCAGGCAATAAGAACCGACTGTTAAAGTCAATAACCGCTCTAAACGGCCAATCCCTTGGGATAGAGACGATTATCACTGGAATTAGTAGATCAAGCATTCCATCGAACACCTTCTGGGTGCGGGAATGCTTTTGATCGAATTCCAGTTGATCAAAAAGGAATAAGAGGTAAACTCAACTAATCCAGAAGGGATTCAATAAAACTACACTTAATCATCAGAATCAACTAAGGATCTCAAATCTACTCTATCCCATCCTTATAAATCCTAGTCACTACTCAGACAACATGCTCAAAGACACAGAAACGATTGATGATTGCATAACTTCAAAGATTAAAGGTAATGAAACAGAAATCAACAAGAGAATGAAAGCAGAATCTCAATAACTTAGAAAAATGAAAAAATACAAAGTTGCAGAAGCAAAAGCGGCTACTAAAACAATACTAGGGTTCGAGACTAAAACGTCAATTAAGAGTGAATGTCTCAGGCGAAACCCTTAGATACTTATTTATAGTAAAAACGACAAGGACAAGTAAGTGGGCTTCGAGTCCGCTTAACAAGCCCATGGACCGTGGAGGTCGAGTATATGGGCTCAAAGTGGGCTTCATGGTCGAGCGTGAATCGAAGCCGCGATCAAGTGGTTCCTTCTCTCCTCTTCTCTTTCCTATGCTCAGGTTGTCTGGTTGAGTGCAGATTGATCAGAGGGTCGAGGTGGTGATCGAGTAGAATGGTTGGTGGCAGGATCTGGACTGCTTCTTCTCTCCTGTGATCGATTAGGTTGGTTGATGGCATGATCTGGACTGCTTCTTCAACCCTGCGATCGAGTATGTGGGTAGACTGTCAGGATGGACTGCTCCTCTTCCTCTGCGATCGAGTAGAACAGTCTGGATGGACTGCTGAGCTGACTGCTTCCCTCTTTGCTACTGGTGATCGAGTAGAGTGGTCCAAATGTGACTTTCAGCTCTGTTTTTGCACTTTCTGAACACCAATAGCTCCGAAGCACCTAAAACAACTCCAGAATGCAAAATGCATGCAAGACTAATGCTAGACACACTTAAACATGCAAATTGTGAGAAATGATGATGAATGCTATGAAAGATGAATGAAACTAGACTCAAAATGGTTATAATTGGATGTGTAAAACATGCAAATTATAGACATATCAGTACACATCAGTCATTACTCTTGATCTTCCATTCGCATCTGTAAAAGCTTTGGTACCTTTGCCTTTGATATCAATCCGAGAGTCATCTCTAAATCTCACTTTCCCTGTATGTGGATGTAGGATTCACACTCAATTGTCTTTAAGTATTTTAGTGGAGATAAACTTTTAAAATCAACGAATGAATATGAGAATTCGAAAGGGAAATTAACCAAGAAAAGAATAAAGTAAAGAAATTTGATAATTTGATAAGAACGAAGTACAACAGGCCTTGCGAAATTGTAAGAGAAAAGAGTATATTGTATTGTTTGATAGTAGTAAGTAAAAAGATCTCTCCCTCAAACACATGCGTTTGAGGTTGTTTTTATACATAAAACATGATTAATGCGGTCATTCACTGTACATAATTATATTGATCCGCATTAATCATGTAAGTTACAATTTTGACCGAAACGGCTTGAACTTGAACTGTCTTGGGCTTCACATGGGCTTTCCGAACTCTTTCTTGCTGACTCCGAACTCCCGTGCGTTAATGCTACTGCGAGCCTTGAACAATATTCTCCTCGCTTCGGCCGAACTGTATGTTGAATAAGAGCGAACTCCGTAATGGTAAAGATCGAACTCTTTTAGTGAGCTGAATCGAACTCCCAACTGGTCAAGTTCAATAAAATATCTCGAATTCCGAGAGTATTATTATGTAATAATGACGTGGACAGATCCAAGTGGATCCTACCGAAAATGTGTGGGATCCGACCCCAACATTTTGCCCCCCAAGTCTTGCGAGCTGAGTGCTCGGCTTGGAAGACTTAAGTAAATAGTAATTAATGAATCGAGATCTTTAACATTCTGGAATTTCTCCACGTTTTACGCTGTGACGCCGATCTCGGATAATCAAATGATTTGATTTTCCTAACAACCGTCATCATTAATTTCTTAATTTTATATTAATACTGCAGGGAAAACTGTCCCGCTTCCCAATATTTCTGAGGCGGTTTTCCGCTAAATAGGGTTAAATGGAACGACGACTTTTACAGCGTACATTCACCCCAAAAAGCTTTTACCAAACCAGAGAAAGAAAAATCTTCTAGTAAAAAATTTATTCCCCAGCCGTTTATGTCTCAGACAACGAGGATGATAGTCAGGGAATCCTTGTTCCCAGAGGGAACGAAGTCTTCACCCAAAGTGGAGATAAATTCGGTCCGCATTTTAGGTCTCAATCGACCCATGCTTCCCTTGGCGCTCTTCGTCGCCTCTGCAACATCCCTCAGGAAATAGAATTCTCCCTTCCTAAACCCAATGAGTCTCCGGAAATAGTACGAGAAGGTTACTGTTGTGCTTACGAAGTCTATTTCAAAGGTTGCGGTTTATTTTTTCCCATACCGGAAGTTCTTCTTTTGTACCTCCTCCATCTGGGTATTGCTTTTCCCCAAATGGCTCCCAACTTTTTCCGATATGTCCTGAGTACCTTGACTGTTTCGGTAGAAGCAGGGTTTTCTCTCACCAGTAGCGAACTCTTAGGGCTATTTAGAGCCCGTGAATCCACAGCGGCGGGTATTTTTTCTATGAACCCTATCTTTGACCGTAACCTGATCGACGGAATGCCCTCGCATGATGGGCCTTGGAGGAAATACTGGTTCTTTTTCCGAGTCAATCCTCACTCCGTCCAAGGTCTTTCCGGTCTTCTTCTCCTAAATTGGTCGTCTATACTTGGTTAGAACCAACCTTTACTATTTTTTACTGTACTGTGTGAAAGAAATAGAATTCTTAACTCAACATTTTATTTCAGGGAATCAAACTATTCCCCGTCCAACTGTTGATTTCTTATCTTTCTTTCGAATCGTTTCCGAGGGTGAAACAAATTAGAATTCCTTCACCCTTCAACGTATTCATAATGCGGGGCTCGCTATCAAAGATGGTCAAACTCATCCCCTCGATCCTCCTTCTGAAGAGAAAGATGTCTCGAGCCTGAATGCCCGTGATAAAAGAAAAATCCTTGCCAAGACTAAGGCTCTTAAGGATCAATTATCCGAAATTGGGAAAAAGAAATGGATCGCCCCAATCTCAAGGGTTGGTAACTTCCACATGAAGACCCTCTTGGTCGATGACGGTTCTTTAGAAGCAGCTCTGTCAATTGCGGTGGATTCTCACGGAGCCGAGATTCCTAACAACCCTCCAATTGCTACCGCTATTTGCCCTTCCGTACAAGAGAGAGAGAGAGAAGTTACTTCTTCTCCTTATACAAAGAGGAAAGCTCCAGACTCAGATACTTTGTCAAACGAGAAACTCAAAACCGTCAGATTTAGTTCTCCGTTACGAGCTCCTAGCCCTTTGCATTCTGTTTTTCCTTCTTTGGAACCTTTAGACCCTGAGCTCCCTCTTCCGAGCGACATAGTAATTCCAGAAGAAATCGATGAATTGAGACCAGAGTTTCCTTCGTCTCAAGGGTTGAGTGTTAGTACTGAAAACCCTTCACCAGCTTCGATTTCTGAAACTGGTAAGTTTTTTAGAACGCGAGCCTTAGCAAGACTTGTTACAGACATCAGCTATTTTATTAATCTACTATTCTCCTTTGTTCTGTAGGCGGAGAAGAGATCGGGGACATCTTCCGGAGTTTTCAAACTAGGGGAGGGGCATCCCTTCCCCCTTTTTCAGTTTGGAGGCCGGAAATCCGTCAGATGTACGTCAATCGAGCTTGCCACCTATCCCAGGTTCGGAACTTCTTGATTTTTACTATGATAACCCCCTTTTAATTAAGTAAAATATTTTTGTCTGAATGACATTTTTTTTTTACTTTGAAGGCGTTTACGGAGACTAATGGAATGATCTTCCATTATGAGAATCTTCTTCACCAAGCGATGAGAGAGACCGCAAAGGCTAAGAAGGAGATCAATGAACATAAACTAGTCAATCAGTCTAACCGACTCGAGCAGGCGAAAGCCCTCGAGTCGTACTTCGAGAATATGAAGAAGACTTTGGCTGCTAACGAGCAACGCCTCAGAATTGCAAATGCTGAAAGAGATTCTGCGAGGTCTAATGCTCTTCGCTTGAAGACTGAGTTAGAAGAGGCTACGGCTTTGTCCGAGGAAGCGAGCCATAAGGCCGACTTTTTAGCAAAGACTAGGGCTCGCGAGATCGCTGAAGCCGAACATAACGCTCGAGAAGGAATGAGGGGCTTCGGTAGGCAACTTATTCAGTCTATCATGAAGTTTATCAAAGACAAAGAAGTCTGGACTAAACTTCAATCCGATCGAGCCGAGCTGAAGAGTAATCTAGACCTGATTGGGGGACTAGAGAATGGAAGAGTTTCGTTCGAGAATGAGAGGAGGGAAGTTACTGCCGAACTCGCTGCAGTTAAATCCGAGTTATCCTCGGCTTCCCGTCCTACTCTCGATCAGAAACAATTTTCTTTGGTATTTGGAGATTCCCCCTCTCAATTTGAGGTTGACGAAGGTTCTCGGCCATGCGAGGGTTCTCCAGAGGTAGAGGAAAGCTCTTAAAAAATTGTTTTGTTGAGTCCATGAGGACTACTCCGTTTGACGGAAATATTTTGTTTAATTAGTGTGACTGAACACAATCATGTACATGCTTCTGCATATGATTTTTTTTTATTTAAGTAAAACGTTTGGATGCGATTCTAGGTTTGCAAGTCCTAGCCCACCAAAGAGGTTTTATGAATTGTGAGAGATGAGCTGATCAGGCTCACTTGCCTTTTTTAAAGAAAAAATCTTAACAAGTATTTTTCCTCTGTCTCTTGAAAGCGAGGATGGAGCTCGGCTTAACTTCTTATCGAGGGATAAGATTTTTATAATTCATGAGAATTTTGCCGTAAAAATGACCATAGCCTAAAAATGACTTTGAAAGTGTTGGGCCATGTTTTAATTGGACCCGAAGTCTGCTCTAGCAGGCCCGCAATATATTATTATTTTTTAGGAAATCCGAACATCTTTCTCCTTTAAAAGAATTCTGAAAGACTCTCACAGTTTATTATAAGAAAAAACTGAAATATGCCGCTATCTTCTTTCAGATCAAGCTCAAGAATAACAACTTCAAACGGGGATCCATTGTTTGAATACGAAGACGGATTCTCTCCAAAGGGAGTCATTCACCCTACGTTTTTCATTTCCGAACGGAGAAAGAAAGGGTCAAATGTTATGACTTCTTGGAAAAGGTTCCCTTTCTAATTTTTAGTCTTTTCGGAACACTGTAAATTCTTTTCCGGACAGTTGACAAAATGTTTGTTCAAACAGATCGTCGGGAGACATAAAGTTTTATGCGATAAGAGACAAAGAATCGGAAGGAGGCGCCGTGCTCTTGATGAGCGCATAAAGAAAATGGAAAGAGAGATCCTTCGCCTGGAATCTGAACCACATGAATGGAAGAGGAACGGCTTAGACATCGTGGCCATCATTCCTACTTGTCTCCGAAGATTCCTCCGCATGCTAGATAAATTTTCTCATCTATCCTTGGCAACCAGCAACGGGTCCTCTTTTGTTTCGTGTTCTTCAGAGTTTCGGAGATTTCCGATGTTAAGGACTGAAGAGAACGAAGAACCGGAGACGAAAGCTATCGATGATTTCTCTGGTCCTCTCGATTTGTCCTCTGACGAGGGATTATCCTCTGAAATCTGTTCGGGATCCTCCATCTCGCTGGAATCATTAACGGGCGAAGACTTTTGATCGAACATCCTCTTATTTTTGTTTATAAAATACCGCTGGGCTTGAGGCCCAACAACATTAATCATATTTCCCCTTTTGCTTTAAATTTGCCGATTTACTTAAATCTTATTTAATGCGATTAATCTAGGGAATACAATTAGCAATTAATTCGATTACATTTTCCATAAAAGTAGTAATTTCCGATTTGGGAAATCGTCAATTAACCCTCTTAAATGTGGTCGAGTATTTTTCGAGTATAAAGTGGGTGTAGTTTATCATTGAGTTTTATCAACAATTGTTCTACAAAAATGTTCGAGGAAGGTAATTCTTCAGAGACTCCTTCTGACTCATTCAGAGCGATAAGTGATGATCTTCCGGGGGCGCCAGACATCGAGCTCATAAAAACAGGAGGAACTGGCGAACCGGAAGAGTCACGAATATTGAGGAGGGGAACCAGCATTCAGGTTCCGATCGTATTAATCGAGAGATTATCAGCTCAAGATCGTGTCAAGGCTGAGGAATTTATTAACAAGGTATTGTTTTCCCCGGTGCTTTTGACTACTTTTGTCATTGCTAAACGAAGCGTTTTATATTCTTCAGCTCATCATTCGGCACGATGAGCTTGAAGATGAGAAAAAAGAGATTAGGAAGAGGAGAAGGGAACTAGAGAAGCGTCGCCTCGATATTGCTCGCGAGCTTCATCGCCTCGAAGCCCATCCTTCCGATTGGATCGAACTAGGACTTCAGGAGTACGGAAACATGCCAGGTTGCATTATGAGCATCGTTGACCTCGCAGGCCAAGGAGCAGAGCTATTCCGTAATTCAAGACCCTTCTAGATCTGGTTTTTGCTTAGCGAGAAATATTTCTTTATACATTGTTCGCAACATATTTTTATATTCATGCCCGAGGATAAAAACAAGACTCCATGATTGGAATAATATTTTTATTTTTATAGTTGGACTCGTGTTTAGCGAGCTGTCTACGTACCCAAAAAGCCAAATCGTAGTTCGAAATATTTTTATTTTAGCAATAAAACTTTTTCAAGTTGTTGATGTTCCAAGACCTTTGAACGGGATTACCGTCGAGGTCTTGTAAACGGTATACACCATTTCGGACTTTTTCTGTGATTTGATAAGGGCCTTTCCAGTTAATACCGAGTTTTCCGGCTCCTTCTTCTTTTGTGTTATCGAACACTCGCCTTAAAAAAAAGTCTCCTACATTTAAAGGTTTGTTTTTCAACTTTGAGTTATAGTATCGAGCGGTCAACTGCTGATAGTTCTGAAGTCGAATAAGGGATTGGTCTCGCCTTCCATCAATTGTATCGAGAACGTCTTCTAATAATTTAGAATTTAGCTCTTCGTTGTGTGGAGCTTCGCTCCGACGTAACCCGGGAACATTCAGCTCGGCTGGGACTACTGCTTCCATCCCATAGACTAATGAGAATGGAGTCTCTCCCGTTGCTCGCCTCGGGGTTGTTCGATTAGCCCACAACACAGGTTGCAACTCGTCATACCACCCACCTTTTCGAGCACTCAAACGTTTTGTAAGATTGCTGAGAATGGTTTTATTGGAAGCTTCCGCTTGCCCATTTCCTTGAGGATACCTCGGCGTTGAGTAGCTAAGTTTTATTCCCCAAGCGGAACAAAAATCTTCAAAGTCATTTGAAATGAATTGAGGACCATTGTCCGTTACAATTTCGTAGGGAACTCCATAGCGACAAATAATGTGTTTCCACAAGAATGTCTTTACTACAGAATCTTTTATGTTTATGTAAGCTTCAGCTTCAATCCATTTGGAAAAATAGTCCGTTAAAACTAATAAGTATTGGACGCCTCGTGTTGAACGATGCATCGGACCAACTATATCCATTGACCATCTCATGAAAGGGTATAGAGCGGATATAGATGACAAAAATTCAGACGGCTGGTGAATAAGAGGAGCGTGCATCTGGCACTTTTTACACCGTTTGGCGTAATCGATGCAGTCAGAAATCATAGTTGGCCAGAAATATCCTAACCGTTTGATTTTGAAGGCCACTGATCGTCCCGAAGAATGACTACCACAAAGCCCTTCGTGGACCTCGCTTGTCACTATTTCAACTTCGGATCCGAAAATACATAAAAGATAAGGGTCACTGACACCTCGCTTGTATAATGACTCTTTAACTATGCAATACTTAGCGCTGATGATTCTTAATTTGCGAACTTGCCACTTGTTCGATGGTAGTTCTCCATTAAGAATAAAATTTTTGATGGGTACCCTCCAGTCAGCCCCCCAATCATTAGCGGAAGTATTATCTTTGAGTCTAAACTTCCTTGGTTTGGGTTCGGAAGAGCAAGCCGAAGTCCTGCTAAGAGAGCTTCATATTCCGCTTCATTGTTCGAAGCCGGGAACATTAATCAAAATGATTGTTCGATTATTTCCTTTGTCGGAGTTTCGAGCCTAATACCGATTCCGGATCCTTGTTTAGAAGAATAGCCATCTACATGCAATTTCAATGTGGAGTCCGTTTCAATAAGGATTCCATCATCTAATGGTAGTTCGGTTAGAAAATCAGCCAGAACTTGTGCTTTTGCGCTAGTTCGACTTTTGTATTCTATATCGTACTCACTGAGTTTGATTGCCCATTTCGCCAATCTACCGGACTGACTTGGACCGTGAAGAATTGAGCGAGGTGGATGAGAAGTCAAAACTTCTATCGGATGAGATTGGAAATAAGGTCTGAGTTTTCTAGCAGATATGACTACTTCTAAAGCTAATTTCTCCATCATAGTATATCTCGTTTATGGACTAGTAAGAGATTTACTTATGTAGAAAATCGGCTTTTGTTCACCTCGGTCCTCTTGAACTAAAACCCCACTTATAGAATGGTTAGAAACTGAAATGTAAAGATAAAGTTTCTCATCTGACTCAGGTTTTGAGAGAACCGGCGGTGTTGTCAGATAAGTTTTGAGTTGACCAAATGTTGCTTCGCATTGATCATCCCACCAAAATTTTTTGTTTCCTTTTAAAATTTGATAAAAAGGGAGACATTTATAGGTAGATTTCGAGATGAAACGATTCAATGCAGCGATCCTTCCCGTCAATCGTTGGACCTCTTTAATGTTTTTTGGCGAAGGCATTGTGAGGAAAGCGTTAATCTTATTAGGATTTGCTTCTATTCTTCTTTCCGTGACTATGTACCCCAGGAATTCTCCGGAAGGTACGCCAAAAGAACATTTAGCTAGATTTAATTTCATTCCGAACTCATTCAGAATTTTGAAACATTGTTCAAGATGAGTGATGTGCTCGAATTTCTTAAGAGATTTTACGAGCATATCATCTATATAAACTTCCATCGTTTTGCCCAAATATTTTGCAAACATTTTGTTAACTAAACGTCGGTATATCGCCCCGGCATTTTTTAAACCGAATGGCATAACTTTATAACAGTATATTCCTCTATCTGTTATGAAGGATGTTTTTTCTTCATCTTCAGGATTCATCATGATCTGTTTATATCCAGAAAATGCATCCATGAATGTAAAGAGTTCATTTCCGGCTGTTGATTCTACGAGCCGATCGATATGAGGGAGAGGAAAACTGTCTTTTGGACATGCTTTGTTAATGTCAGTGAAATCGACACATACTCTCCACTTTCCATTCTTCTTTTTGACTACCACGGGGTTTGCTAACCAGTCCGGGTACTTTACTTCCCTAATGGAACCAATTTTCAAAAGCTTATCAACTTCGTCATTGACCGCCTGAGCTCGTTCAGGACCCAGTTTTCTTCTTTTCTGCTTTATTGGTTTAAAACTGGGATCGACGTTTAAATCATGGGTGATGATACTTTTGTCGATTC